TCTAAAAAAGTTGACATGAAATATGTTAATAAATTAATGACAATTTTAAGGGTCTTCAATTAGAATAACATAATGACAAAATATTTATAAATGCAATACACATTTCACAAATATCAAAATACTTTTACATATGTTTTAACATTAGCAACAGTCATTAGAGCTATCTTTAACATCTTTCATAAATTATTGGTCAACTAAACAATAATTCAAAAGTTTTTTGCTTCTGTTTATTCCACATTTAGACCAACAAATTATTGATCAAATAAACAATAATTCCAATTTTTGTTTTTTATTTTCAACAATAATTTGATTCCATTTGATTGGCTCATTTTGATATTTTGGTGGAAAAAATTCAACTAATAAGTTGTTGTTATTCACACTCGTGTCAATAAATTTGCACGGCATCAAACCACCACCAAATTGGGACTAGATACTCTCTAGTTGGATTCAATCTGACTCACTATGGCTTTATCTCAATAATTTAAATTATTTATTTTGTCAGTTTATTAAATATATTATTTATATAAAAAATTAAATTACTTAGATATTGAAAGTGCCTTGATCAAATTATATTTATTTAAAAATAAATTAATAAATAATATAATTTTAAAAATATTTCATCTATTTTTTTTTAATAAATAAATCAAGTGATTATTAGTGTCCAATCAACTTAATTTTTAGGATAAATTACATTGATCTCCTCTGAGGTATAGAGAAAATATAAATAACCCCATAGTTTTAGCATAGTTACATTGATCTCCCTTTTAGAAGGGCTAAAACAACTGAAACTAATATAAATAGTGTGAAATTACAATGATAAATAAAAAATATATATACACTTCAGTGTAAAATCATTATGTTTCTATCCATATGACTAACGAATTATTAATAAAAAGGGAGCTATATACAACATTCACAAAACCTAAACCTGATTTTGTTAAAACTGTAAAATGTGACTCTGTCAAAACTGTAAAATTTGTTGTATTTTCTTCAAAACTTAAAAATTAACAATGTAATTTATCCTAATTTTTAATCTAAATAATCTTCTCGAATAATTCTAGAAAATGCACCATTCAAATTAAGGGAGACTTCTCTCTGGCTTGATATCAGATTAGAGAGTGTTATTGCCAGGGCCGGCCTTGAGGCGAGGCAACTAAAGCGGTCTCCTTGGACCCCTAATTTTGAACAAAATTTAGGGCCGCCAACTAGGGGAGTGTATCATGTCGTATTATTTCATAATTACTTCAATATTAGCTCAATTTATTTATTTTCATGTTGTCATATGGTATTATTTTAATTTGTGTCCGATTGATGTTTAATGTGAAAACTTTCATTTTTAGTTAAAAATAATTTAGCAAGTGTATGGAGAGATTAAAAATTTTTCCCGTAAGTTGAATTTTATAAAATTTATTTCTACTAAATGAAATTATTCATAGAATGTTTGATTTTAATTCAATTGCATTTTTCTAATTAAGAAAATTGTACCTTATTACTATATATTGTTTACTAGATTGACTCTAAAATAGGCAACAAAAAAAATACATATCTTAAATGAAAAAAACATATTAGCCTTAATTATTATTTTACATACTTTTTTTATTAAGTTAGATGCAGTTACATAAAAAATTAAAAAAATGTCATGGCATCCCTTAGTGAACATTAAAATATATAACTAATAATTTATGTTATTAAGTCGTGTCATACTTGGATTCATGTTGAAAAATAGTCAACCCTAACTTGCTAATTTTATATATTGCTTGAGTTGTGTCAAAAATTCTCATCTTTACCCCCCATTAATTTTAGTTATTATAGCATTGGTAAGCTAAAAAATAAATATTCGATTCAACTAATTGAAAGTTAACTATTTATATATGTATATATATATATTTGTTATCTAAATTTTGTTAAATTGTAATGCAATAGAAATAAATTTTTATCCTTTTTGTTTTATCCAAACAAATTTTTTTTTTTTTTGGATAATGATATATGAAGGGCCTAATTTAAAAAATTCGCCTTAGGCCCCTAGTTACGCAGGACCGACCCTGGTTATTGGCCCATGGTGGGACCTTGCTCTAGACTTATTTTGATAATCCAAACCGTTTAATGTGCAAGGATTGTCGAGCATATAGTTTCTGTAAAAAAAAATTACGTTAATTGAATATTGATAGCCACTTGATCACATCACATTTGTGACAACAATAAGTATGATTTTGAAAATAAAGAGTAAATTACATTTTCCCCCCTTTATGTTTGGTCTCTTTCTCACTTTGGCTCTTAAAGTTTATGTTTTCCCACTTTGACCTTTCTTGTTTCAAGTTTTTCTCAGTTTACTCTTAAAACTAATTTCTGTTCAAAATTAGATAGAAAATGCCACAATAACTGTCACATAATATAAAAAATATATTATTATATTATAATTTAAGTTTATGTTAAAGGTGTGAGTCATATAGAATAAAATATTTGTATGTCACATGACTGTCAATGTGTCATTTTCTATCTAATTTTTAACAGAAATTAGTTTTAGGAGTAAAGTGAAAAAACTTGAAACAAAAAAGGCCAAAGTGAGAAAAAAAATAAATTTTAAGAGTCAAAGTGAGAAAGTGACTAAACATAAACGAAGCAAAATGTAATTTACCAATAAATAAAGTATTGACATAAATGTGTTCTGATCAAGTAACTATAGATATCCGATCGACATGATTTTTTTATCAAAATGATATACTTAACGAGTTTTGTACATTAAACAGTTTGTATAATCATTTAGATTGTTTATAGTGTAGGATTCATTGAGTATATCATTCATGCAAAAAATCAAATTAATTGAAAATTCGCAACCATATGATCAAATTCTAATTGCTTTAAAAAAATCATCAAGATTATGTTAACCATTTACTTTAAAAAAATAAATGTACTCTTATTGCAAAGCTATAGATGTCCAATCAATTTAAATTTTTTTACATGAATGATGTACTCAATAAACCCTATAATAAGAATGGTTCGAATTATCAAAATAATAAAAAAAAAATTCAAAAAAAATCATAACCAAGGCACCACAGACCTACTATGACTTAGGTTTGATTTGAGAATAGACTATTTTAATAATTTTCATATTTTTTTGACTAAAATATGAGGTGAAAAAAATTAATACGTTTGGAATGATTTTTTAATTTTTTACGGAAAAAATGTGAAAAAAATAAAAATAAAAATAAATATTTGATTTTTCTTATTGTGTAATTCTTTGTTTTTTTAATGATTTATTGATTTTTCAACTATTATTATAAGTTCTCAAAAACAGGCCTTAGTCACGAGAAGTTATTAGTTGATCTTAGAGTATCGTCAAGTGATACTTCAACAGTGTTATAATTGATAGAAGGGGTGAGACTTATGAATTTATATTAAGTGATTGAAAAAAAAAAAAAAAGTATGCTAAATTATGATTAGTATGAAATATAACCACATGGTGTGCCAATAATTTTTCCTTAGTCACAGCAGCAGCAACAAGGTACCTTTGTCATCCTCATCCAGAAAGAGGTTTCCTCTATGGGAAATTCTATTTTCACACATTTAATTACCTCAGTATACATCTTTTCTCAATACACACAACTATTAATTTGATTATTAATTAATATTCTAAATCCACACATTGAAAGTTACGATTACACCATTCACTCATAACCATTGTACACACACCAAACACTCCTTTCCACACACTTGTTCATTGACGCTATGTCCACAAGTGTAGACCCACCCACATGAACACCTATTGAAGACTTTGGTCTGCAATGAGACACTTTTCCTCCATTGAAGACCTTTATTGAAGACCATATTCAATCTTCATTCCCAAAATATTGTTGAAGGTAAGGCATTCTTTTCATTTTGTTATTTCATTTACTATTTTGCCCATCCCATTTTAAATTAATATTTAAAAAAAATTATTTTGTTGAGAGATTTTTTGGATTAGTCCTTTTTTTTATTTAAGAATCACAATGGTCATTTTAGCAACTCTACTTTTATTTTCAAAATGGTAATTATAAATGTTCTTGTTTCATGCAGACGGAGTAAGAGATCTGTGAAGATGGGTATGAAGAGAAAAATGAGTATTTGGATTGCGAGAAAAGGCTTGGAAAATGTGAAGGGAGTTGGTGGATAAGTTATTACTGTGATGAGAAGGGAGTTGGTGGATAAGTTATTACTGTGATGAAAAGGGAGAGGTGGATAGAGGGAATATATAGAGGAGAGAGAGAAGGAACAAAACCAGGGGCCATGGATGTAAAGAGAGAAAGAGAGGTTGTTGGATGGGCAGTTTACTTCTCTTCTCGCTCCCAAGATTGAATTATAAACTACTCCTATTCTGACAGTCCCCTGTTTTGATATTCTTTTAAGCTGTGTTTGGTTAAGGGATTTAAGAAGAGATTTGAAAAATGAAAGGAAAAAGATGTGTGAAACTATGTGAAATGTAAATATATCTTATTTACATTTCACATATCTTTTCTATTTCTCTTTTTAAATCTCTCATCAAATCTCTTAACCAAACATATCATTAGAGTAAACAGTCTCTACAAACCTCTTTTTCTAGACATATTTTTGCCTGAGTTTGAGGTTCTATTATTTTGCAACTCTTTCATAACAAAATTAAGCAAAAATTGTAGAAGTAATAAGAAACAATATAAATAATAGAATATAAACGTATAGATTAAAGTAACATGAGAGTTGTTATGAGAGTATTATTTTGCTACCAACAGAGGTGTATAGAATATGTAACAAGCAAAGTGACAATAATAAAGAGAAAAAATAAAGGTTTAGTTTTTTCTAGTCAAAAAGTTTATACTGAGATTTTTTTATTTTTAAAAAATGTGTATAAAAAATATTTTTATATAATATTATAAGTGTTGATAAATGTCCATTATAATTATTTTAATTTATGATATAATTATTATTAAAATAATATTTTATTAAATGTGTGTATTGAAATAAGTAGAAATAGAATTTTCCTTCCGCTATCTTCGCAACATTGTCAAATTCAATTTTGGTGTACTGACACTGACACTGACACTGGGCACGCAAAAACAAAATGTGACGATCCTTCTTGGTATGCTCTCTGGACTAGTACTAGTTTTAGGCTTCGATTTCCTGATCGAAATACCATAGAAATCTCCAGCGGCACCGTCGTCTGCGAACAATTCGAAAATGGATTCGCAGAGGTCTGGCTTAGCTAATGGTGGAGGATCGAGCTCTGCTAGGGTTTCCACCATGTCCAACGGCCACCGAGTTGTCCACTTCCCGCTGTCCCGCTCTTGCGCTCTCAAAATCCAGAAGGGCGACATCACTCAGTGGTCCGTCGATGGCTCTTCTCTACGCCATTGTAACTTCTCTTCTCTTTCTCTCATTTTGATTGTTTTGACTCTGAATTTGAGGATTTTATTTCAATTGAAGTGATTTGAGTTTATAAGTAGATAGATGTTTGTATTTTATTATGATCTTTTATTTCAAATCCATCTTGATAAGCCTTCTCTCAAATCCAATAGTTTGAGGTATTCTACTTACTGATTAGTGCTCAATTTGTGTGATAGGAATTCCATTTGCATGACTTGGAATTGTTTGTATGATAGACTGAGGCTTGTTTGATTGGCAGGATTAATAGTGAAGGGATTAACAGGATTGGTTATCTAATTGGATTAGAGAGATATATAATTCTCTCTTGTTCACATTTGTTTTGTAATATTTATATATATATATATATATATAGAAATATATAATCCGAATTATATGTTTGTTTTACATTATTAGTTGTAAGATTAAAAAATTCAACAATTTTGTTGGATTTGGATATAATAGAATCTCCATTGGAATCTAATTCGAATAACAAAAATTGCAACCAAACGACAGAATGTGAGTCCCATAGAGTAATAATCTCAATCCTATGTTATAATCTGCCCAATCAAACATATCCTAAGACTTGGACTAGGACAAGGTGATTTTTTAACTGAGCATTGTTAGAACTTTGATGCTAATTGCTTGAGTTTATTAGCTTATTTATGTGATTAGAGGTATTGACCTATGAAGCATGGATACTTCGAAAAACATGCGGGTACTTACCGGCGTATGGTACCTCGTATGGTACTTCTGCATACGTACCTGGTACACAAAACATGTACTCAAATTTTTTCTTCTTAATTTTTGGTGTATCCAGACGTACCTAGTAGATACTCACGCCGTATCGTACCTCAGTTGAAACAATATTTTCTTCTACTATAGAGATAAAACTTCTTTCACTAGACTTCTTTTTTATTTTTAGTTTTATACTTAGTATGATTTTAAAATTAAACTATGGTTTGTAAGTTATTTAATATATTGACATTTAATTTTGATTTATACCTTTACTTTTGGCATTAAATGTTAATTATAGGTTGGATCTTAACAAATTAAACCATTTAATTAATTTTTGCATTACTCTAAATTAAAAATAAATATTTTTTTACAAGCGCACCAAGCTGTATCCGTACCCTACTATTTTTGGATTTTACCGTATCAACATACCCTTATCATACCAGTACCAGTACCAGTACCAGTACTCGTATCCGTACCCGTACCCGTGCTCCATAGGTATTGACTGTGATTGCGAGCAGTGTTTTAAAAAGCGCGCTTAGGCGCGCGCCTAAGCCCAAGGCGAGATGAAGCGCAACATTGCGCCTCAAGCATGGTGAGGCGAGGCAACATGGGCGAGGCGCAGCTTAGGCGACAAAGCACGTGCTTTATTATAAAGCCTGAGGTGTGCGCTTCATGCGCTTCAAATGTTTTTCACTCCAACAGCCCTCATTTGTTTACTGTGTGGATACCCACATGGGATAACATCTCATTTACATTATAAAATGATACAAACGTGGCTCAACAGATCAAAAACATTTAAAAAAGCCCTAGTGGAGAAGAAGAAGAAGAAGCAGCGACGTGAAGAAGAGTATAACACACGCCAAATACGCAGGTTCTCTTCTCCTCTTCTCTCTTCTCTGGTTCTCTTCTCTTCTGCTTCGACTATTCTTCTCTTCTCTCTCTTCTGGTTCTGTCATACCCTGGTTTTTTTTTTTTTTTTTCTTTCTTTCTTTCTTTTGGTTCGATTCTTCTCCCCTTCTCCTCTAGTTCGATTCTTCTCCCCTTCTCCTCTAGTTCGATTCTTCTCCTCTTCTTCTCTTCTCTTCTCTGCCTCTGTTATACTCTGTTTTTTTTTTTTTTTCTTTTCTTCTGGTTTGATTCTTCTCCTCTTCTCCTCTGGTTCGATTCTTCTTCTCTTCTCTAGTTCGCTTCTCTGCCTCTGTTCTACTTTGTTTTTTTTTTTTTTTTGGCTTCGTTCTTGTCTTCTGCCTTGATTGTTTTGCTTCTCTTCTTCTCTGGTTCTTTTCTCTGCCTCTGTTCTACTCTTCTTTTTTTTTTTTTTGGCTTTACTGTTTTGGTCGTCTTCTTCTCCTCTTCTCTGCTCTACTCTAATTTGTTCTTCTTCTCTTGCTCTGTTTTTTTTTCCTCCTCTGTTTTACACTGTTTCTTTTTCCTATCAAAATAATAATAATAATAAAATGAACACTGAATCAGTGCTTATAGTCTCAATAGGTACATATTAGAAGCTTAGTTGCATTGAATTATGTGGATGATGATTTTAGTACATAAGGTTTTTGGTGGATATGAATGTCATACTTTATACCTTTTGTTGGATATTATACTTTTTAATATACTACATATATTTGTTATGTTAAAAATTTTGCCTATTTTATAATTTTGCATTGCTTTTATTATGTGCGCCTCGCTTTGGTGAGGCGCGCGCCTCGCGCTTAGGCTACAGGAGACCTCCTCGCCTCGGTGCGCCTGGAGCCTTTTAAAACACTGATTGCGAGACTTGGTGTGATGTCATTATGATTTGAACATTTATGGAGCTTACGTGGAGTTCTTGTAGGCCTTGTGACGAATGCTCAAACAATAGTGCCGTTACTCTAGGTGTAATGTTAAGATTTTGCATCTCTGTGCTTAGTTGAAGAGCAAGTTTTACTGTGGATCATTGATGAAATGAATAATGTGGTCAGCAAATTGTGAAGAAGCGCGTTGTTACAAAATTGTGTTAGATAATTAATTAATTTCAAATTATAGAAATGCCAAACCCGCCTTGATTATGGTGGCTCAAGCAATCAAGGTGTAAGGGCGTGTTTGGATGTCCCTTGGAAATTTAATTGCCTCATCATGTCTCATTTGGAATTCAATTGAAAATGGCAGCTCGGGAAATAGAGGATTCCGGTCTTAAGCTATACTATAGTGGCAAGGATAGACACATGAATGGGGTAGGAATAATAGTTGCTAAAAGTCTTGTAGAAAACGTAGTTGCGGTCATTAGGAAAGGTGATAGGATTATGTTAATTAAATTAGTTATTGGAGAGAATATAGTGAACGCTATTAGTGCATATGGCCCCCAAGTAGGATTAAATGATCAGACAAAGAGAGTTTTTTGGGACCAAATGGATGGGGTATTATAGGAGATACCCATAGGAGAGAACCTAGTTATAGGTGGTGATTTCAATGGCCATGTAGGAGTAGACTATGTTACATGGACTCAGGTACAAGTATCAGGTGTGGGTGTGTATTCAAGCGTCAGACCCTCATCAATTTTAATCTTAGGATCTTGGGATACGTATCCAAAATTGAATATGGGTACGGAGACGCGTCATATATGCATATCTATTGCATATTATATAATATTCTCAAATGAAATGTTGTAAATTATATCCAAATATACTTTAAATTAAATAGGATTCAGGAAAAAATATGAAATTTTTATATCTAATTAACGTGAGGCTAAAATTATTACTTTACTAGCAAATGTGAGTTTCTTCTTCTCATATATTGTAACAAATTAAAGGATCTGAGTGTCTAAATTGGGTACAAGTGGTAGACACATATCCCACACGCTTACCTATGTTATATCCGGTGGACACGGGTATTGTGGGGGAAATAAAAGAGTCCATGTAACACAGAGAGTAGATAAACTTGGGTATGAGAGGGTGTATGGTGGGTATGATTTTGGTGATAGAAATGAGGCTGGAGAGAGTATTTTAGATTTTGCGTTGGTTTCTGACCTAGTGGTGGCCAATACTATGTATAAGAAGAGAGAAGAGCATTTGATAACTTTCAAGAGTGGGTCAATTAGGAGCCAAATAGATTACTTTCTAGTAAGAAAAGAGGGTCGTCTAAAATGCAGTGACTGTAAGGTGATTGCTAGAGAGAGCTTGACGTCTCAACATAGGATTTTGGTACTAGATGTATGCTGTAAATGGCAATACCAAACTCGGAAAGATAGTGGGCATCGCAGAACTAGATGGTGAGACTTAAACGGGGATAAACTAGACACATTTAAGAATAGAATGGATAAAGAAGGTACTTGGGACTTGGAAGATGCTACTAACACTATGTAGAACTCGATGGCCAATTGTATAAGGAGAATCTCAAGGGAAGTTCTTGGAGAGTCGAAAGGAAAGGGACCCAACTTTAGGGAAACTTAGTGGTGGAGGGAGGAGGTCCAAGCGGTAATAAAGACGAAAAAAGAGAGCTTTAAAAAGTGGCAGAATGATAGAACTAAGGAAAACCTTAAGCGCTACAGATTGGCCAATAAGGAGGTCGAAAAAGATAGTGAGGGAGACTAAGTTGAAAGCCTATGATGACTTATACACTGGACTAGATAGTAAGGAGGGAGAGAAGAGGATATACAAACTGGCTAAGATAAAAAAGAGAAAAACAAGAGATTTTAATAAGGTTAAATGCATCAAGGGTGAGGACTCTAAGGCGTTAGTGAAGGATGAAGAGATTAAGGAGAGGTTGGAGAACTATTTTGAGAAGTTAAATGAGGAACATGGAGGTAGGTTAAAAGGGGAAGAAGTAAACAGTAATAAGGAAAATCAGGACTATAGGTTCTATCGTAGGATTAGGGACTTTGAAGTAGAGTTTGCACTTAAGAAAATGAAATTGAATAAGGCTTTAGGACCCGATGATATACCTATTGAAGCGTGGAAATGTTTGGATAAGAAGGGGTTTGTTTGGTTGACTAGGTTATTAAGTAAGATTTTGTTGACTAGGAAAATGTTAGAGGAGTGGAGGAAGAGTATTTTAGTGCCAATATATAAGAAGAAAGGAGATGTTCAGAATTGTAACAACTGTAGAGGAATCAAGTTAATGTGTTACACAATGAAAGTGTGGGAGAGAGTGATAGAACGTCGATTGCAAGATATAACAGAGGTGTCAGAGAATCAGTTTGGATTTATGCCTGGTAGGTCAACAATAGAAGCGATCTATCTTTTGAGGAGAGTAATAGAAAAGTATAGAGAAAAGAAAAGAGGCATTCATATGATTTTTATCGATCTTGAGAAAGCATATGATAAAGTGCTTCGAAATATAATTTGGTGGGTGTTAGAGAAGAAAGGGATAACAAAAGGTTACATTGATGTGATTAGAGATATGCATGAAGGTGTGTTGACCACTATTAGATCGTCTACTGGTGAGACGAGTGAATTTTCAATTTCTGTAGGGTCACACCAAGAATCAACCTTAAGTCCTTATCTTTTTGTTTTAGTTATGGATGAGTTGATGCGCGATATTCAGGATGATGTGCCATGGTATATGCTTTTTACAGATGATATCGTATTAGTAGATGAGACTAAAGAATGAGTTAACACTAAGTTGAAGATTTGGAGAAACACACTTGAATCTAAAGGATAAGTAAAACTAAGACAGAGTATGTGGAGTGTAATTTTAATAACAATCATAATGGAAGCAAAGAAGAAGTGAAGATTGAGAACCAAGAACTACCTAAGAGTGAACATTTTTGTTATTTAGGATCGATTATCACGACGACTAGGGAGATTGGAGCGGATATGGTCCACATAATTAAGGTGGGGTAGCTTAAGTGGAGGAGTACGTTTGGAGTATTGTGCGATAAACGAGTACCCATTAGACTAAAAGGGAAGTTCTATAGAGCGGCTATTAGACTAGCAATGCTGTATGGGACAGAATGTTGGGCAACTAAGAAATAACATATAGAGAGGATGAGTGCTAAGGTGGATATGTGGCAAGACTAGAAAAGACAGAGTTAGGAATTGATATATTTAAGAATGGGTAGGAGTAGTACCGATAGAAGATAAGTTGAGAGAAAATAGACTGAGATGATTTGGTTATATACAACAGAGACTAATAGAGGCAGTAGTGAAGAGATGCAATACAGTGACGGTAGATGGTAGTGTTAGGGGAAGGAGTAGACCTAGATTGATGTGGACTAGTATAGTAAATAGATATATGAATCTCCTTAATTTGACTAACGAAATGGCCTGGGATAGAGTTGATTGGAGAAGAAGTATTCATGCAGCTGATCTCATTTGATGGGACATAAGGCTTGGTTTGTTTGGTTGGTTGGTTGGTTAGTTAATTTCACAGTACGAGAATGTGAAACCATGTTGCATTATGAAACTTGGATTTAGATTTTATGATGTGAGCTCCTAAATTTTGGCTTCCATTGATTTTACATAACACCTTTCAGCCATTACGTAGCTAATTTCAGGGTTAAAACTTTGTCCAGGGATTCTACTAAAATTCAATTTTAGTACTGTAGAATTCAAAATGATGGATCATTGTTGGATTTGGCACATCAGCTAAATCTGAAAATCCAAACACTATGATGGGGCTTTAGTGATTTTTTATTTATATTTATTTTTTTAATTTGGATCATTGTTCTCATAGGTCAATCCAGCAAATCAGCGGATGCTTGGAGGTGCTGGTACTGATGGAGGTAATTTCTCACCATTTTCTGTTGAACATGTTCTATTATGAACTCTGTCAATTAGTCTGTGTGTATTTTCTTAGCCATACACCGAGCTGCTGGTAAGGAACTCCGAGCAGCATGCTATGATGTAGAAGAAGTCGAACGTGGAATTCGCTGTCCTACTGGAGAAGCGAGGATTACACAGTAGGCTTTCCTACTTCAGCTTCTATAATAGTGGTATTGTCCAACTTTATGTTTATGTAGCTCATTATGAATATACAAGGATGTTGTGTATATGCAGAGGTTTTAATTTGCCTGCTTCTCACGTTATTCACACTGTTGGGCCCATATACGATGTCGATCCTAACCCTGAAGCCTCTTTAAGAAGTGCATACAGGTAATAAGTTTCCCACCCATAATTCATTTATATATATATATATATATATATTTATTTATATTTATTCGGTTTTGCTTCTTGATTAGGACACAAGGCTTAGTTTGGTTTGGTTATTTGGTTTTGTTTGGTCATTTTATTACGATTTCTTTTTGCCCAAATTTGTAACAGAAGCAGTTTACGTGTTGCCAAACAGAACAACATTCAATATATTGCATATACTGCCATATCATGTGGTAATCATAGGTAAGTGTAATAATTTATGTATTATTGATTGATGTCTTGATTGATAGATTACAAGATGCATTAATTACAATTCCTATACAATCTATATATAGAAGAAAATGTGGTAGTAGGTGTAGTGGAGGTGATAGTGGGTTAGGTGAAGTGGAGTGTGTAGTGGAGTAGAGGTAGGTGAAGTGGAGTGTGTAGTGGAGTAGGTGAAGGTAAAGATGGGAAATTCTAACAGTAAGTTGGTTAAAAGAACTGTCAGTTGTTAAAGTTTATTCTGTATGTCTAATCAAATGCAATAATATTGTGAATTTTTAAGTCGCCTTTCCCAAAACTCCTGCATATTAGATTGAGACATCACTATCTTCACTAGCTGGGTGGACTTGTGGACCATCTCGCCATGTATGAGAATGACTTGAGATGTTGAATGCATTATTAATCAACCTAGGTTATATGGCCACGTGCAAATTGTTCTGTTAAGGTTCCTTGAATAATAGAATAAATAAATGGATGGATAAAACCATCTTTAGTTTACACGATACTGGCTCAAGCAATTGTTTTGAATCTTTTCATCATGGTGTTTATCAATAGCAGCATGACCACTAATTTTATTTGATTTTCATATGTTTTTTCAGGTATCCTTTGGATGAAGCTGCCACTATAGCTATATCTACAGTTAGAGAATTGGCAAATGACTTCAAGGAGGTATTAACTTGTCCCGGAATTGCTTTATGAAAAATCTTAACAACCCTCGAGATATTGATTTGTGATTATGTATCAATTTTAAACAGTGAATATCAATCCCAATCAAACAATCAACCACAAATCAGCACAACGATTTAACGTGAAAAAAATCACAATTGGAGCACCTCCAATTGTGATAAATAAACATTACGAGCCAAACTGACAAAACAATCCACTAAAAAGATAAAAAGGAATTACACATGAGTACCATCAATTACCTAGCGAATCCAAGTCCCAATTGATCCAAAGCCAATATGCCTCTTCCAACACCGTCTTCACCGCAGAACTACTTTGCCCAACGTTGAATCCACAACAATGACCCACTTCAGAATCCACCAAAGCTTTAAGCCCAAGTTTCCCAGAGTCCACCGAAGAATACCTCTCTCTTTATGTGAATAAAAGAATAAACTCGACCCTTGATGTTTGACACTCTGTAGTTCGTTGATCAATCGATCACCTCTATACATCAAGGAAACTCATATAAAAACACCCTCCAATGTAAAACATTTTGTATTTTTCTTTTCTTTGAGAATCTGGACGGATTAAACCCTAAAAACAGCAAACGGCGCACGTTATACAAAACGGAGCTGCGAAGACCGCTCGAGTGCACATTTCACTGCTCGAGCGGTGTGAGTAAAGGCGGTGCAAAACATATAGGCCAACCGCTCGAGCAGTGAAACATATTTCCCAAAAGTTTAGTTTGCAAGCAAAGATACTAGATGATTCGAGCGCAACTGACCACTCGAGCGGTCAAACCACTTTAGTGAAGTAGCAAATAAAGAATGCTCAAGATATAGAATGTCAGGACAAACTCTTCTAACAAGCACAATTCGGGTTGAATTCGCAAAAACACTCACAGTCTCACTGAAACATAAAAGCAAATAAAATTACAACTGAAAGGAGTTTTGTCAAACGGAATTGCCAATTACAAAAACTTGACACTTCATGTAATGGTAATCCTCAGTTTCACTTTCCGGATTGAAATGTTGCATATCTTATTTCCTATAATCTTTATGTTTTAACTGACTGTGTTCTTTGGTGATATGTTGATTGATGAGCAAAAAGAATTATGATTTCCTAAGCACGAACTAAAACTAGTACAGGATCATCATTCAGAATCAAGTTTTATGTGGAAAGAAAAGTTAAAGCACAGCGCTTATGGCATTGTTGTTTCTGGGGCATCCAATATAATAGCCATAGGCGTTAAGGTATTTCCTTGTGTCAGTCTTTGTGATGGGTGGGTAGGTTTCCACGTGGTTTTGTTTGGAAACATTGTCCGTATTTGTCATGGACATTCAAGCCTAGGCTATACAGAATTCTGAGTCCCTGCAAATTGTTTTTAAACTCCTTGTTTCCAATCTGACCTTGTCCAGACCACTTCCCTGTAACTGACATAGTTCAGATCATGGAGTACTTCTTCCAACCTCCCTCCACCCCACAAAAATAAAATTCACTTCGAAAATGGAAATTATGTTAAGAAGTTGGTTTGAATGCATGCACACTTTTGAGATTTTACTTTTGTCTCCCACTTTAGTCTTTGATCATTCAAAGGTTGAGAAACTTGTAAGTAACGTAAAATTCATGTGAAAAAATAATGATTTTTCCAGGTGCACTTTGTTCATTTAACTGATGAGGCATACAATGTTTGGTTGGACAAGGCAAACGAGTTGCTGCACGATCAGTGATTACGGTTGCCTGACAATCTGCAGATCCTATTATTTATTAGAATTCGAAGGATTGAATGTGGATATTTATATTCCAAGTTGATAATGACATTTGCAGAACTGTCATAGGTATAAAAAAGATCAGCAAGTCGCGGATGGAAAATGGGTTATTTCGTATATATAATTTAATTTTGCTACATTTGGTTTTCTAGAGAACAGATTGATTGCTGGTAATTTTGTACACGTTACACATGATTGATTATTATTTCTTGTGCATTCCTATATGTTATGTTTGGAACTTAATTTTTTTACGAAAAAGAAGAGATAAATTGAAATGGGAGAATTTATTTTTATTATTATTATTTTAGTCTTTTGCTTTTTGTTTGGCTTGGATGGTAATTAGAAGAAAATTAGTAGGCATTTCTCAAAAAATTTGGACTCATGGGAAAATTGAGTAGGCATTAGTAATTTTATTGTAGTTTTGAGGGACTCGGGGATAAACTTGTTACTGTTGAAGAAGGTATGCACCTACCATTTTGAGACAACTAAGAGGGGATTACACTTAAAAACCAATCAATAGTTAATTATCTAAAAGTCCCATTTATAAATGTTATAATAGTTTAGGTCTTATTTTAAAAATTTTGAACTAATAAGTTTCATTTAGTAAAACTGATAATATTATTAGTTTTTTTTCTAACTTTTAAAATTAAGAATATTATCAATTTTGCATAGTAATGTTTTAGATAATTGTTTTATAACTGATGAAAAAAAATAGAATATGAGATTAAACATTTTTGTCCTTTTACTTATTTGTTTGATTCAACTATCTAATAAAATTGATAACATTATCATTTTTTTTAAAATTTTAAAATTGAGAATATTGTTAGTTTATTTATTTATTTATATATATATTTTTCCAGTTCTGTACATTAATGTTCTATCATCATACTTCTTTATAGACACAATTTTCAGTTTTACACCAAAAAAACAATTTGATTTTTTCAATTTTTTTTTTAATTTTAAAAAATGTAAGTTTTTTTTTTTTTTTTGCACATAATTTTTTTTTAGTTTTTCCAATTTGAAAGTTGATATTTTAAAGTTTTGAAAATCAAAATAAATGTCAAATCATCATGTTTATAGATAATCATAAATGATGAACACTAATTGCTTGAATGATAATTCTGACTATTAAAAATTTAATGGGACTTGAAGGTCCAAAAAATCTTAATTATGACTTAATGGAGTATAAGTTCATAAATTAAAACTTGTGTATAAATATCCCTTAAATCAGTTAGTATGCCTAATTTCTCATTATTCACTATTAAATTATTTAAATATATAATTTATTCTCAATATATTATATTTTTCATAAACTATTTTTAAATAATATAATGTTTCAATTTTATGATATACCTAAATAATAACCTTAATATAAAATCAATTTAGAAAAACTCTCCATCTTCTCGTCTCAGTCATTCTCAGTCACGACTGCTTACTCTCAGTCACGTCTTAGCAACGTCATTCAATTCTCAGTCTTTTCATTGTCAATTATTGAAGAAGAAGCACGTTGGATACCAGTTGAAGAAGGAAATTGATGAAACCGAGATTGGATCCAAGTTAGCTTGTTTGGTCTTCTAGTGCCAAACAATTGTTTTGTTTGGACTTTTAAATCCGAATGGTATTGACGTAAATCAGACTGAATATTCATTTTTACATATAAAAAAAAACACAGAAATTAAGGATTGTACTTTGATATTTATGTACATACTTGCCTCTTCTTTGATGGATTGCTTCAAAAAATAGTTTTGATTATTATTCTCATTCATTGTTTGATTTTGTTCAAATTTTCTTCTATTTACAAGTAATAACCCAATAATAAATAATGATGTTAATAATAATAGTGACTTTTGGTGGGGTAAATTGGAGTTTTTGATCGAGGAAGAAAAAGAAAAGAAAATAATTGAAACTTGGGAAATTTTTTTTGCTAAACGATTGATATTAATCTGTTGTGAAAAATGACAATAATAGGAATGTAAAAAAATTGTCAATAAATTTATCTCAAAATGTGATGTGTGACTTAAATTTAGTTTTTGTATAATAAAATTTATAATTGAAATGAGTCTCCACTCACCTTTTTTTTTTTTGGTTAATATTTTTCTGAATAATTTTTTTGAACACTTGGCATTACTGTGAGGAAAAGCAGAGGCAAATTGTGGAGGATGATAACAAGATGGTGAAAGAATTGTTTTTCATGTGGTTTTATTTTTAAGAATTGTTTTCTATTCCCCCTAATATATTTTGAGTAATCAATAGTACATTTGGTTGCCGCCTCCTCGATGAAAAATTATTATTGATTTAAATCATGAGAGTTATTACTTTTGTATTGAAATTTTAAGAGACAAACAGTTAGGATTTATAATTAGAGTATTGTTCTAAAAATATTGAGTAATTTCTCCCTCAATTAAGGTTTCATTTGGGAACATGTTATTTTAGTAATTTTTTAGTTTTTTAGTTAAAACATGAGGTAAAAAAAATAGTATGTTTGGAATGAATTTTTGATTTTTTACAAAACGATGTGCAAAAAGTAGAGATAAAAGAGAATCTTTGATTTTTTGGTATAGATTATACACTTTTTTTATTTTTTTAGTGATTTTTTGACATTTAGACTAAAACAGGCGCATGCCAAACAAGGCCTAACTTTAAGTCAACAAGTCAACTAAACAAAAGAGAGACAGAGAGAGTTCAATAGGGGTGTGTTTGGTGTTGTTTATTTTGGCCAACTTACAAATTCTAGTTTTGAAAAAGTTATTTTGGATTGTTTGGTTAAACAGTCGTGTTAGAGGCCTCGAAATTTCGTGGCTCGAATAATCTATATATATATATTTTTGCTGTGTTGGTTTGGTTTGATTTGGTTTTGTTTTTTGTTTTTATTTTTTTTGTTTGTTTGAAGGGTGGTTATGTGTAGGGGTGTGCTAAAAAATTAGACATCCCGCACCAACTTAGTTTTTGTGGTTTGATAAGGTGAGCTAGTTGGGTTGGATTGGTTTGGTGATAAAATTGACTAATCAGTTAGGCTGCTGGTTAAAATTTGTTAATTCTGTACAGTTTTGTACTAGTCCCTATCCTGATTTGAAATAAAAATATAGTAGGGACTTGTACAAAACTATATGGAATTAACAAATTATAACCAGTAGCCTAACTAATCAGTTAATTTTATCACTTTATCAAACTACACAGGTTGAGTTGGTGTAGGATGTCTAGTTTTTTAGCACACCCCTACGCATAACCACCCTTGCCAAAAAAAAAAAAAAAAAAAAAAAAAAAAAAAAAAAATACAAAACAAAACAAAAAACAATTTCGAGGCCTCAAATTGGTTAAATTTATTTTAAATAACTTCTAATTTTAACAACTTATTTTAACTCAAACAAGTTAATTTTGAGAAACTATAGACCCCTTACTTTTGATTATCAGCTTCTACTGTAAGCATGTTACTTCACGATTATACCCTTAGATTTTTTTTATTTTTTTAAAAAATAGAAAAAGACCCAAATGAACTATGGATTATTATTATTATTATTTTTTTATGGGAAATGTGAACTAGTAATGAATAACAAAAAAATAGAACTTAATTTAAAAAGTTATTTCACAGCTTATTTACTAAACATTACTTAACAACTTAAATTTATAATTTAGCAGTTGCACCAAATAGATAAACAACTTCTGAGTAAAATTATAATTTATAATCCGTTAAGTTATAGTTTATAATCTGTTTTAACAGCCGCACCAAATACCGCAATATCTTTTTCATTTTCAATGTTTTGTTCTAAGTTAGAACTTCTAACAATGAAATTTTTTTATAATAACCCTCATTTTCATATGCATTTTTTATTTTTATGAGAAGGTAGTTTATTAAAATACAAAAAACAAATTAAAACTTTATCAAAAAATAATTTCAACAAAACAATTTATCAAATAATAATTATTTTTTTTATTATTTTATAATTAGAATGTACTGTCCACATCATAAAATTTCAAGCTCAAACTGATCTATACGAGGGCTGACATGACGAGGATCCCTTACTTTCGAGTTTAGATTTATCAAAGTTGAAAATTGTAATTTCATAGTTAAATTTCAATTTATCTAAACCGTTCATCTCATATAACAAATTAAAAAGAATATGAAAAAAATTACATTGATCAAATATAAATAATTATATGATCAAATCACATATATATTATAACATATTAATGGTCCATTCTTAAGAGCATATAAGTCATATAGATCAAAATGATCTAATAATATGACAATCGATATTCCATCAATTTAATTTTTTGCTTGAATAGTTTTTTTAATTTTATAAAATAAACGATTTAAATTAGTAAAACTAATTTAAATTAATTCGATAATAGATTCAATTTTTTTGTAAAATTGAGATATTTAATTTTAACAAATTTTTTTCTCCTTTGTGTTATACTTTCCACAACCAAAATTGACTGAAAAAACAATTAAACTAGCGAAGTCGTTGACGCTTTAGATACAGTTTTTTTTTTCTCTCCTTTGTGTTATAGTTTCCACAACCAAAATTGACTGAAAAGACAATTAAACCAGCGAAGTCGTCGACGCTTTGGATATGATTTTTTTTTAACCTCCTTTGTGTTATATTTTTCACAACCAAACTTGATTGAAAAGACAATTAAACCAGCAAAGTGATCGACACTTTGGATACGATTTTTTTTCTCTTTTGTGTTATACAATTAAATCAGCGAAGTCTAGACGCTATGGATACTTTTGTTTTGTTTTCCCACTACTAGTTTGGCTAATAGCTTGCTAGGTGAGTGGGTTAGACTATGACTATGACTATGACTATGACTATGACCATGATCAATGAATGGGCAATGGTTTGTTTGGGCCGTTGTACAATCAGTAAGTTATAATCTTGTCTTAGATTTGGATCAAGAATGAGTTGTTAGGTGAAAATTGACGGTTTTTATGTTCTGTAGCGTATGTGTAAGATGAATCTGAATTATATATTATTATTTTTAAATAATTTTTAAATAAAATTTTTGAGTTATGAGTGATTGATATTAATCTAACGTGAAAAATGACAATAATAGGAATGTAAAAAAATTGTCAATAAATTTATCTCAAAATGTGATGTGTGACTTAAATTTAGTTTTTGTATAATAAAATTTATAATTGAAATGAATCTCTACTCACCTTTTTTCTTTTTGTTAATATTTTTCTGAATAATTTTGTTTGAACACTTGGCATTACTGTGAGGAAAACGAGAGGCAAGTTGAGGAGGATGATAACAAGATGGTTAAAGAATTGTTTTTCGTGTGGTTTTGTTTT